GTGTGTGTGTGTGTGTGTGTGTGTGTGTGTGTGTGTGTGTGTGTGTGTGAGAGAGAGAGAGAGAGACAGAGAGAGAGAGAGGACGGAGGACAAGAATGAACAGAGGAAAGAGACAACAGACTTAATTATATGCATAATGTTAGAGTAAATTTAAAAGATGACCTGAATGACAGTATGAACTTGTTATGCTAATCAAGTTAACATCTGTGTTCTGAAAAACAGAATAAGTCATGAGTAACATTACAGGGATTAATGGTATTTTTTGACCTGCTAAATGATGGTACTTCATTTGCTTGCTTTGGTACCTAAGATTGCTAGATGTTACTGGAAGTCTTGGCAATATATACGTTTTTAAGATCTGCATTGGCCTCATCTGCCCTTCTCCAAGCTTCTTCAACCACACATTCTCCACTTCCTCTTCTGTCTCCACCTCTCCAGGGCAAGTAAATGTGCATCTTTTTAAAACAGCCAGAGCTACTGGGGATGGTGAGGGAGGGAGTAGAGACTCTGATGATTTCACTCACAGTCAACCATCCCAGTGGATCAGCTCCTCAAGGAATGGGGTCTGGTTAAGGACCCAGGGGTCATCTAGGCATGGCAGAGAGGGCCATCAGTCTTGCCATCATTTTCTCATCCCTGGGGTTTCGGTTTGGGGATATTGACACCTAGGGAGTTGGTGAGACTCTCTCCTTTGGGGAAGGAAAGACAAGAGGAGGAAGAAAGAGTTGCTGTGCGTCAGGCAGTTTACTAGAGCTTGTTAACAGGTGAAGAACTGGGGCTCAGAGAAGCTGCCATCCAGCTGAAGTCACACGGCTGGGGTGAGATGGAGCTGGAGTTTAACCCAGGTCTGCTTGTCTCCAATCCTACCACACTCTAATTGTTGGCTATAATTAGAAAATGTTTCCTTAGACAAAGCCAAAATGAAACCCAGGAGTGAGATGGTGCTGGCAGCAGCCTGTGGCCTCTCTCCACCTTCCCACAGCTATGAGGTGACATCGAAAGGAAAGATGGTGGTGGGTTTGAGATGCACGTTGGGGGCAGGGGTAGGAGTGGGCAGAGCTGAGCCTAGCTGAACCCGTGGAATGGGCAGATGGGTCACTTCCAGCCAGTTTCTTCCACCACTTAGAAGGCACAACAAGGGGACCCCCGGGGTGTCCTCTTCCTTCGAGCTTCTCGGGGAATCGCCCTACAGTACTGCACACCCAGCAACAAGCTCTCAAGGTTCACAAGTCATTTTACTTTGAAGTTAGGAGATCTCAGGGAGCAAAAACTAAACCATAGAATTTGGCATCAAACTGTCATTTAAAAGCTGCAATTTTCAGTCTTTCTCAAAATTTGGAGGCCTGGAGACACCTGTGATACATTTTCCTGACAAGTGTAAAGCAAGGGTCTACCTTTTCTTCCAAGGAAAACAGAGACAATATAGACAGCTTTAAAATGAAAGCAAAGTTATGTGGTTTGGGGCACAAAGGGCATGAAGTATTCTCTTTACAAGAGTTTAGATGGCCTTATGCTCGTGTATTATGGTTTGTTCTGAGAATGGGTGTGTATGTGCGTGCACGCCTGTGCACGCACGTGTATACACATGCAGTACATATGGAGCACCAGGAGTGGAGGCTCCAAAATCATGGTCTTCACCTCAAATTGGAAAGGAACCTGGCAAAAGTTCAGACTTCCTGAAAATCGAGTAGGATAGGGGCTTGAGCCATCTTGGGCTGTGCACTAAAATTTCATGAGAAGTTCTACTGGGTTTCTATGCACCCTTAAAAAACAAATGAGGCAGGTGGAAAGAATTTTGTTTAGTGTGAAAAGCAAGGTGCAGAGGGTTTGTGTAGTGGGTCAGCAAGCGTGTAAAAAGTTCAGAAAGGATGGGATAGAATAAACTGGTGAGGCTCAGAATTATAATTTCCTAAGATGATTTTATATTAGTTAGTATGTTAGTTTATATTCCCCCCACTCCCAACCCCACCCCTAAACTGAAGGCCATGCTTCTATACATGTGTGCATGCACTCATGCACACACACATAAAGGCTTATTCATTTATGGAACTGTCAGCCCGGGATCCTGAAGGAAGGTGAGGAAGCTGGGAATCTGAGCTGAGAACAGGCAGGCAGGAAAGGCCGAAAGAGATTCTATGGATTCCAGGGGTTGTAGCCAGTAGCTTCCTCTCTTCCCCTCTACTCCCTTCTCTTTCTCTCCTCCCTTTCTTTCAAAACAAGTGTTTAATGAGCACCTATTATGTGCCAAGCACAGTTCTAGACAGCAGGCACGCAACAGGGAGCCCTGAGCAATGAGCACTGGATATTGAACCCAGTGTCCTTGGTCTCTTGCTTGCCTCCCTGTGCTCCTAGATCCTAGGCAAGTAAAGCCATCTGACTCCACTGCACCGTGGGGGCCTCGGTGTGGTCTTGGGATCAGACCCCTTCCCACCACCCTCTCTAAATGAGCACACCATACCAGAGGTACCATGCCTTTCCTTAGCAAAGATTGAGCACTGGCTGTGTGGCAGGCACTGTGCTAGGCGCTGGGGACACCTCGCTGAACAAAAGAGACCAGAATTTTGCCCTCCCGAGGCTGACATTCTCCCTGGGGGAGACGGACCATATACACTGATTATAAGGTGGTGTTCCCTACCAGTGTCTCCTGTAGAAAGATCTCTATCCTCACCTTCTAAAACACGTCACCTCACTTTCCAGGAGGACCTCGCTTTCTTGGCCCCCTGAAGCAGGGCTCCCCAGGTCTCTGGCCTCTGTGAGCTTTTAGTTTCCTCACTGGTGAAACGGAGGTGGCTGTGGTTAGAATTAACAGAAGACTAGTGGCTCTGGCATGCATACAGTCATCTGCGGAGCCTGCTAGAACTGCAGAGTCTGGGGCCCAACCCCAAGGAGTCTCATTCAGTGTGTCTGGCTTGGGCCCAGTGGTCTGCCCCCTGTCCCCTGGGTGATTCTGAGGCAGGTGGTCTGGCCCAGGACCACTCCAGCCCCACGTGGAGAGCACTGCCCCAGACGATGAATGTGACAGGGAGGGCACTCTCTACAAGTCAGCTGTGTTGATGTTGCACAGGGAACACTGTGCTGGAAAAGCTGGAATGACTGGCCTGATGCGCCAGCTCTGGGTGTGATGGAGTGGCCAGGAGAATGCAGTCCTCGGTCTCCTGCTGTGAGGAACCTAATTGACTGATGGTCCTGGTTGCTGCCCTTCTGGATCTAGCCTCGTCTTTGTGCTGAGACTGCCCCCAGCTAGTGACTGAGCAGGGCAAGGCTGCTAACACAGCTCATTTTCACAAGAGACTTCAGCTTGAGGCTTCCCCACTGCTTTGGCCAGGACATTCCAGGAACTGCGTGGTGTTCTGGGGCTTCCTGTGCAATCCTCTTTCCTTCTCCCTGTCCTGCGCAGGTGTCAGCCCTGCAGCAGGGTCTAAAGGGTCTCCCTACTGTCTTCAGCTCCCCTTTTTATTCGTCACAGGTCTTGTCCCTGATAAATCTCTTGCACATCTAGTCCCATCCTGGCTTATTTTCTCTGAGGACCTGGTGGACCTCTACACCTGGCTTGGTCTCTGACGTCAGAAGAGCCTTCAGTAGTGCCGTTCCTGGTGGCAATAGCACCTGATCAGTGGCATCATGTGCAGGAGGGGAAGCAAGGGCTGGCCCCTCCAAAATCAGTTTACCCCTGTCTTGGGCAGACCTGGCACGGCTTGGTGCAGTGGTTGGTGCCGCCTGTTGGCACAGTGGTTCAGAGCATGGCCTCGGGAGCTAGGTTGTCCTGCTTCAAACCCCAGCTCTGCATGAGCTTGTGCAAGGTACTTAACCCCTCTATACCCTGAAGCTGTATGTAGATAGTACTCCCCTCACAGAGCTATGGTCCAGAAAGTTCCATACTGCCCTGTTGGTGGGTTCTCTGCCTCACAGCAATGTGCTGCAATTAAGGAGAGCTGGGCAAGTATGGTGGCTCCCCCTTCCCCTGACCCATCTAGAACTAGCGCTCTGTGGTTTCTGCCACTCCTTTGGGTGAAGAGGCCACGCGGTATACTGGAAACACCCTGGTTCCAGGCCAGCTCTGCCACTTCCAGCAGAAGGGTCTCCATAGTTCATTTTCATTCTCTATTTCTTTGTTTCTTATCAGTGAATTCAAGACACTGAATGACTCTTCTTAGAGGTTGGACTTCTAGCCCCAAGATTCTATCAAAGGATATAGTACTCTCAGAGGCCAACTTCATCTTCTTTCGTTATTTCCGTTAAATGTGCATGAAACATATTAATACATTGTTGGCTCAGCTCTGTGCTGGGCACTGGGGACTCAAAAATGAAAAGAGAAGGCCTTTGCCCTCAAGCCACTCAGAGTCCTCCTAGGGGGCAAACACGTCCACAGATGACTCTGGGACAATGTGGGTTTGTGATCCCCCAGAGATGAAAGACTTCTGCCTTGGTTTTAACTAACATTTTATAATGGGAAGTGGGAGAGGTGCAGGAAATAGTTTCCTGATGATGTTTGGTTCAGAGAGGAAGGGCAATGTGTTTCATTGTCCCCTGCTTTAAAAAAAAGAAAAGAAAAAAGTATATTTCATTTCATTGAGAAGAAGAAACAGAAAAACTGGGGAAGTTAGACAAATAGGGAGAGACCTGTTACAGGTCATGAGGCCAGTTAATGATTAGTGAGACCCGAGTGGGCGTTTAGTGTTCAAAACTGTGAGAGCCTGGGTTATGAGATCTCTTTGTCATTAGGGGTCGGCTTCACCCCAGCTCTGAGACTTCCAGCTCAACGATGGCCCCAGACCCCCGGGAGGGCTGCTTCTGGTCATGGGGGCTTCTTCTGTGGCTCAGTGTTGGAAGTACAGGTAAGTCGGCGCTGGGGCCTTGGGTGGGACTTCTTTCGGTCAATAATTCTATTTTTTCAAGCCATCTATTTATGTAGTGCTAACCTTTGGAAGGTCCCCTAAAAGCCCTCTCCTGAGATGTATTTAAAAGAGGGAGAAAAAAACCTTCAATCATAATGGGAATGACAGCACTTTCTTAAGTCACAAAGATTGAACTTCCTCTAGTTGTTTTACTCATTTTTCTAAAATCTGCGTTACTCCTTTTCACCTCGCACAAGCCAGGAAGAGTATAAAAAAATAAAATGTGATTAATTCCAAAACATGATTCATTTTCCCCCTGTAAATATCCATTGTTCCAAGATATATTTAATTTTAAAATTTAAAATTTCCAAACTAACAACAAGTTTGTCATTGAGATCGTTAGAGGTCCTTTCTGTTCTTGCCGACCCAGCTCAAGTTCAGGCTTGTCATCCCTCTTGGCAGTACTATGATAACTAGTCCTGTTCACCACAGATAACCAATGACCTTTAGCACAGTTTCCCTCAGATGCCATTTGCACGGTGCCTTACCCAGCGAAAACCCCACCCACCACTCTCCCTTGCTTAATATAGCAAATCTAAACCCTCTTATGGCGTAGAGCATCTCGGAAGAGTAAAATCCCCTCCTCTGACCAGCAGTGGCATCACCCTTGGAAAGCTCCCTTCCCTCTACCCCCAACAGCAGACTGCCTTTGTGTCATGTCCACAAGACATTTAATTCTCATTCCCCAGCTTTAGGGTGTGTCATTCTTTATGCCTGTAGTTGCTCACACTACCTTTTTGTTCATTTCTGCCCTTCATGTCTTCCAAGAAGGCCTCCATGATTCATACTTTCCTTGCAACACCACAGGCCCCTGCTCACCCCTTCCCTGCATCAACGGTTGGCGTTGAAAAGGTGCTACTTAGCTTCACATGTGCTTTCTCCTAACGCAATCATTTATCTGAGTGCATGTGTGTATGTGTGCGTGTGTGTATGTAAAGTAACCATATATCTTGTTTTATGAAGTGGCTGTTTATACACTATATACTAGATCTAAAAGGATTTATATCTTACACATTTTTGATAAATGTGAGAAAAACTGCCCTGCAAAGAAGTTATAACTGTTGATTTGCACGTGAGCACGTCTGTTTTCCCACCCTCTCCAACAACACTTTGTATTATCAAATGTTTTTCATATTGTCAATCTCATAGAAAAAATAGTATTACACTGTTGTCTTAATTTTTATTTCGTATTGTGATTTGTGCTTCTGGTGTCTTGTTTAATCAATCTTCTTATAAAAATAATCTTTCATATTTTCTTCTAAGCTCTATGGGTTTAGATGAAGATCACCAGGGACAAATCTTGTGGTCATGGGGTATTGTTTTTTTCCTACTCCTGTGGGGTATTTTTTAATATGATGTTGAATTTTATTTGCCAACATTTATTTTTATTTTTGTATATATTTTTATTATTTTGTATATTTGTTCATAAAGGAAATTTATGTATCATTTTTTTTTCTTGTATTGCCCTTCTCTGGTCTTGATACTAAGATGATTATAACCACATAAAATAAGTTTCTGTTCTATGAAACAGTTTTATATAAGATAAAGGTTACTTGTAATTTAGAGGTTTGGTGGAGTTCTCAAATAAAACCATCTGGCTCTAGCGTATTTTAGGGCCAGAGAAGACTCTTGATTACCAGTTTGATTTTTTCTTTTTTTGGTGCTAGTAGGTTTATTTGGATTTTTATTTCTTCTTGAGTCAGGTTTCAGGAAATTATATTTTTCATTGCTTTTAAATTTTCCAATGCATTTGTCTGGGAATTTTTAAGAATATCTTTTATACTTAATGTTCTGCAGTTTTACTATCATCTGCCTATTTGTATAGATTTATTTCCTTTTTATCTTGCTCATTACCCTGAGTATAACTTGTGATTAGAGAACTCATATCTTTTTTCAGTTATGGAAAATTCTTAGCAATTACCTTTTCAAAATATTGTTTCTTCTCCTATTCTCTTCCTTTAGAGAACAACTACTAGTTAAATGTTGGAGCCTCTCCATCTATTGTCCATACTTTTTAACTGCACTTTCATATTAAAAAGCCTCTTTTACTTCTTCTTTACTAGACATTATAGCATTGATTCCATTTTTATTTCCATGACTATCTTTTTCATTTCCTTTTTCTAATTAGCTTTTTACTATATATCTTATCATTTATGCCCATTTTTATTTCATAATTTCTTATGCTCTGTCTTTATTTTCATCCTTGTATATTCTCAGCATACTTATTTTAAAGCTTTGTCAAAGATTTTTAAAACTTTATTTCACCTGGAATGAATTCATCATCCACTTATTGGCTTTATCGACTATCTGTGTAAACATTTGATTACTTTATATATTTGTTTTCAACCTTTTTAAAAAGTAAATTAGTTACTGAAGTACAACATACATACAGAAAGGTACACAGGTTAATGAATTTTCAGAATGATTTCACCTGTGTAACCATTATTCAGATCAAGAAATAAAATGTTACCAAATTCTTAAAACCCATTCCCTGTATCCCATCTTACTCACTACTGCCCCAAAGATAACTCTTATCTTGACTTCTGACACAATAGATAAGTTTCATTTTAATTTTCAATGAAAAGTTTGTTTTCAGTCTCTCTCTTCATCTCTCTGTCTCCCCACCCGAGCCCCCATCTTTGCCCTCTCTCCTCCAGAAAGGTGCGTTGTCTCAGCTCCTGTGAGTGAGGCCTTGTCTTTCCATTCTGTCTCCCTAAATAAAGCTGTAGCCCCAGTAAAAAGTCAATAGCTGTTTTTGTTTGTATGGTTTTTGTTGTTAGCTTCCTTTCCTAAGTTGGGGAGCCCCTCTCCAATGCTGGCTACCACTGGTGGGTCTTCCACACCTGACTTGGAGCACTTTGGGACCCCGCTTACCTCACAAAACTGAATTCTTACAACCACTGTCTTCTCTCAGACCTGGAACCCATCACCATTTTGCAATTCTATTCTTGTTCCTGTTTTGGAGATATTATTTTTATATTTGAGATTGTCTATGTCTTTTTCTCTCTCTCTTTTGGATATTCATCTGTCACTACTCTTTGACTAAAGTGGTGCTTGGAGGGATGGGGTATCTGAGCATGATTCACTGTGCCACATTCCATAGTCTTGAATGACGGACAGTTCAATCCTATTGTCCGCAAATATCGGCAATTTTTTCTCCCCCTTTTCAAACCTTATAATTTTTATCCTGTTTTATTGTCTTGTTTTACTAGCAAGGACTAGAACTTCCAGTCCAATATTTAATAGAAGCACTAATAGCAGACATTCTCATTTGTTCCCAGTTCTGAATGGAATGCTTCTAATATTTCACCAATAACTATAATCATTGCTATAGGCTTTGGGTAGGTACCCTTCCTTCCTTATGTTAAGGAGTGTTGGGTATTGAATTTATCGTGTGTTTTTTCCCTACATCTATTGAGTTGAGCATATGGTATTTTTCTTTAATTTGTTCATATGTGAATTACATTGATACATTTTCTAATGTTAAACCATCTTTTCATTTTTCGGATTAAACCCTGCTTGGCCATGATGTATACTTGTTACCCTTGAAGGATTTGACATTTTATCTAGGATTTTTATGTCTGTGTGTAATAGTGAAACTGGCCTTTAGTTTTTCCTTTCTCCTTCTTTCCTTGTCCAGTTTTGACATTTTGGCTATTTTCATAGAATGAGTTTGGATTCTTTCTCCCCTTTTCTATTCTCCGGAACAGTATGTGTAAGATAGGAATTGAAGGATTGTTAGAATTTCTCTGTGAAATCTGTCCTGATAGAGGTTTTTGATGAATAGATTTAAAACTACTGTTTCAATTCCTTTATACTACAGTTTTACATTTGATTTTCTGTTTTTTCTTTCTTGACTAAGTTTTAGTAAGCTATAGTTTTCTAGGGGATTATCAATTTTCTAGGAAAATATCTATTTTTTAACTGTTGGATGGGTATAAACATGCTATTTTGTGGTTTAAAAAATCTACTGGGCTTACATCCCCTTTTAATTCTCTATATTGTTTATTTGTGACTTCCCCCTTTTTTTCTTACTCTATTATCAAAAGTACATCTAGTTTTTTTTTTTTTTTAAGTACATCTAGTTTATTATTCTTTCCAGAGAACTACCTTTTGGTGTTTATTGTGTGTGGCAGGTTCTATTCTAGGCAGTAGAGTGAACAGAATGGATAAAAATCCCTTCCTTCTTTGAAAGTATCTTCTAATGTGGGGAAATTAATAAACAATACATTTAATAATAAACTGGTAAATAAAAAATCTTCATTAGGTGATGATTGCTATAAAAATAAACAGATCAGGTTAAAGAAAATTGAGAGAACGGAGGTGAGGCACATAGGCAGATTGCAATTTTAAATAGAGGGTTAGGGACTTCCTTGGTGGTCCAGTGGCTAAGATTCCACACTTACAATGCAGGGGGCCTGGGTTCGATCCCTCGTCAGGGAACTAGATCCCACATGCCGCAACTAAGACCCGGAGTAGCCAAATAAATAATAAATATAATAGGGGGTTAGAGGAAAGAAGATGACATTTGACAAGCAAAGACTTAAAGGAGGAGAGGGAATTAGTCACATGGATGTCCAGAGAAAGACACTTTGGGCAGAAGGAATGGCTAGTGCAAAGACCCTCAGGTGGGAACCTGTCTAGAGAGAGGAAGAGCTAGGAGGACTGGCTGGAACAGAGGAAGCAATAGTCAGACAGGCAAAGGGCTCCCCAAGGGGATGGTCTAAGATATTTAGGGCTTTCTTCCACTGTTAGGACTTTGGATTTTATTCTGAGTGAAATGCCTTGGTGGCTTTTGCACAGAGATGTGACATGATTTGATTTACTTTTCTACTACTGTGTTGCAAATAGACTGAAGGGGGACAAGAATGAAGGCAGGAAAAGCATTACAGGCTACATAATTTTGAGAGATGATGGTGGCTTAAACCAAGGTGGTGCCAGTGTAGGTAGTGAGAATGGTTTAATTCTGAATATTGTGTTCTGAGGATTTACTCACCATTGTACGGGGGTGGCAGAAAACAAAGTGTCAAAGATTCCTCCAGGAAGGTCGGCCTGAGCAACTGCATGGACTGAGCAGCTACTGATGCTGTTCATATTCATTGTTTTATTTAATTACAACTACTTCCTTTTTTTCTTTTAAAGATTTAATTTTATTTATTTTTGGCTGCATTGGGTCTTCATTGCTGTGCGCGGGCTTTCTATAGTTGCGGCGAATGGGGGCTACTTTTTGTTGTTGTGCACGGGCTTCTCATTGTGGTGGCTTCTCTTGCTGCGGAGCACAGGCTCTAGCCGTGTGGGCTTCAGTAGTTGTGGCTCTTGGGCTCTAGACAGCAGGCTCAGTAGCTGTGGCACACGGGCTTAGTTGCTCCATGGCATGTGGGATCTTCCCGGACCAGGGTTCAAACCTGTGTCCCCTGCACTGGCCGGCAGATTTTTTTTTTTTAATCCACTGCGCCACTAGGGAAGTCCCTTAACTATTTCCTTTATATTTCTTTCCCTACATTTTATTTGGTGTTGCTGTATTATTCTTTTTCAGCTTTCTGAGTTATAAGATTAATTTACCTAATCTGTGTCTTTCCCCATTTTCCCCTGATATTTACATTTATGGTTATAGATATCAGCCTAGTACTGTTTTAGCTACTTTAACTCAAGTTTTGATATTGTATTGGTTTTATTGTTATTTAGTTTTTAATATTATCTAGTCTCCATTGTGATTATTCTTTAACTCATTCATTACTTAAAAGGGAATTTTAAAACCTCCAAATATGTCTTTAAATAACTTTTGTTACTGATTTGTAATTTTATTACATCTTATTTAGATAACGTTGTCTGGAATATATTGATTCTGCGATGCTTGTTGGGCCTTGCTCTGTGACATACTATGCTTATTTAAAAGGACTCTTAATTCTCTGTCTGATGGATGCAAACTTCCCTACATGACCAATAGAGCAAATGTATTCATGTATGTGGTTCAAGTCTCATGCTCAAGCAGAGTCCTTTCACCTTTTCTTCAAAGAGTTGGGGGAAGGCAGATGAAGTAGTCGTCAGGCATCGTTCTCTCTTGTGTTCCATGGGGGCTCAAGTTGCCACAGGCTGAGGAGCCTGGGGGCCTGCACAGTCATAGTGGGCTTCATCGCTGGGGTGTCCAAGACCTGGCTGCTCAGAAGGGAGATACAAGGGGCCTCAGGGACCAGGTCTGGGGCTTAGGTGCAGAGCTGAGGAAACCGCTGTCAGCACTCTCTAAGGGTGCGGTTCCCACAATCTGCTCACAGTTCCACAGCCCAGCACACCCCAGATCCACTTGCTTGTTGTACATGTGCTCCCCCGTTACCTCTGAAGGCAGATAACCATTCCAGAAACCTGAAATAGCTGTCTTCCTCGTGAAGAGCCCTGCACAAATCAGTCTGCAACCTGGACCTGTCTTCTGATTCCACAGATAGTTTTGTCCCATGGCAGGAATGTGAGGTAGCTGCTAACAGCACCAGGACTTCGGGGCTGGGGGCCCAGTGCGACAGTGTGTGCCCTGCTGCCCCAGCCGGTCTCTTTCTGTAAGACCAACTGGGTGTCAGGTGCCCCCCTTCTTTATCACAGGCGTGAGGGTGGGCTGTTGGGTATTGAAGATAGGCCAGATTTTTAGCTCCCTGGGAAGCAGGAGTTTCATGCTGTTGTTTCGGTTCAGTATTGCAGAAGGCCTTTCAGTGAACTTGACCATAAAATATCCCGTTTAAACGTACCTGTTGGAAGGCACTGTAGAATACATACAGCTCATTAAGGGTCCTCTCTACCATCTGGCTGGGCAGCCATGTGCTGGGTGCTGGAAGGCTCTGGAGTGGCTCTGGACTGCTCATAAGGAAAAGAAGTGATGAGGCTGGAGGGGGCAGTTTGAAACCCTCTGGAATGGGGTGCTCAGACCAGAATGAGCCTAGTCCCCAGGGCAACTGCTCATTTCATAGCCCAGAAAACTGTATTATTTAGCTAGGACTGCTGTAACAAAATGCCTGGGTGGCTTAAACAACAGAAGTTTATCATCTCCCAGTTCTGGAGGCTGGAAGTCTGAGATTAAGGTGGCAGTAGGGTTTGTTCCTTCTGAGGGCTGTGAGTGAAGGAGCCATTCCAGGCCTCTCTCTTTGGCTTGTAGATGGCTGTCTACTCCATGTGTCTTCACATCATCTTTCTTCTCTGTGACCAAATTGCCTCTTCTTATTAGGACACCAGTCATATTGAATAAGGGTCCACCCTAAAGGCTTCATTTCAATGTAATTACCTCTGTAGGGACCCTATCTCCAAATATAGTCACATTCTGAGGTATGAGGGGTTAGGACTTCAACACATGAATTTATGCAGGTGTCGGGGGACTCAGTTTAGCCCATGACAATATCCATTTCACCATGGCCTTTAATCTTCTCTAGCTGAGCAATATTCATATTCTTCTCTGGTATTTTATCTTTATACATGAAAAATATACACAGACTTTGGTTACAGAAGTGATGCCTTTAATAAATGAGTCTGATTATTACACTTGCTGATTTATGATGAATGCCTATAAGCCCTTGTTTCTCTCTTCCTTTCAAGAACACCTTTTTTCCTTTTAAGAACAGATGACCTCACCTTGGATGTTTCTTGGGTTTTTATTTGTTTGTTTGTTTTTTCCTCTAGGAGATGCACCTCCTACCCCACAGACAAAGTGCACGGACTTCCAGAATGCTAATCTTCTCCAAGGCACCAATCTCAAAGCCCACTTTCTCCTCTTCACCCCTTCTGATCCTCTCTGTGGGCAGCTCGTGGAAGAAAGTAGTGACATCCGGAACTTGGGGTTCAATGCCACTCTAGGAACCAAGCTAGTTATCCATGGATTCAGGTGGGAGCCAACCAACCAATAGGATCACCTCAGCTAAGAGCTAGAAAGTGACCATAATGCCATAGGAAGTTAGTGGGGAGCAAAAGGAGAAATGGATTTACTGCCTGTCACAGGTCCCATTGCTCACCTCCTGCTGACTTTGAAGATGTCTCATAGCAGCTTGAACACACATTCTGTTGTTCTTTCTTGTTGGTCACATACGTTACTCCTCTGCTAACTGTAAATATGTGTGACCCTGGACACACTCTCCAACTGTAAATATGTGTGAGCCTGGGCAAGTCACTTTAGCACACGGAGCCTCGGTTTCCATATCTGAATAAAAGGGAAGTTGTAGAGATGGTCTCAGTGATCCCTTCCTCCCTGAAGTGTGGGTTGCATGATTCATCTCAGCCAGTGAGGTCGTAAACTTTGTGCAATCACTCAGGGGTAACATCGTGGTGTTTTTATCCAGGGTTTTTTTGGGTTTTTTGCAGTACGTGGGCCTCTCACTGTTGTGGCCTCTCCCATTGCGGAGCACAGGCTCCAGACGCACAGGCTCAGCGGCCATGGTTCACGGTCCCAGCCGCTCCACGGCATGTGGGATCTTCCTGGACCGGGGCACGAACCCGTGTCCCCTGCATCAGCAGGCGGACTCTCAACCATTGCACCACCAGGGAAGCCCTTATCCAGGGTTTTATCTCCTCTTCTTCTCTTCTTCCTGGGTTTCATGACCTAAGAAACTTCCACTTCCATCACTCCCAGAGGTTAGCGTTTCTCAGGCGCTACACACTTCTTCAACTTCTTTGAGGCCCTGCAGGCCAAATTTTGTTGTAATGCATAGTCTCTGAGTCCCAATTTAATCACCACCCTTCCTTCCAACATCTTCTCTCCAAAGCTCACTGAGAATACCGGAAACAGAAAAAAGTTGGTGAGAGGAGAGAGGGAGAGAACATGGTGAAAGAGTAGCACTATGGAGCAGCTGGAGTTGGGGGCCCTGATGAAGAGGTGGACAGCGGGGCACTGCACAAAGGGTCACCATTTCCTCATCTCTGGGTTCTCTTTGCCTCTCCAGTCCCTCACTCCAGGTCCCAGCCACATCCTCCCTCAGGCATCCCTTCTCTCTCTTGTGCCGAAGTCTCTTCTCCGGCAAATCTTGCATTCAGCCACTACCCAAGGCTGAGTGTGTGCCCTCAACCCAGAGATAGCTAGTGGAGCTGAAGAGCTCAGCAGCATCACTATGCTGCCCGCTCCCAGATGCCCCAAAGCCACGTTCCCTGGCATACACCCAGTCTGGGCTCCCCTGTCCACGCAAGCAAGCTCTGGGCCATTGAGAAAACTTCTTCCCCATTCCCAATCTCTTGGGAAAGCTCTCTGAAATTTTTCCTATTCTTCTTTTCCTAGAAAAGTCCTATTATACTCTAAGTTCCAGAAGGATAAGGAATATATCTTATTTTTCTTTATTTCTCACAAAGCACCTAGCATACTGCCTGGCCCATTTGTTGAATGAAGGAAAGAGTGAATGAATGAATGAGTAAATGAAAACATCCTCAAGGAAAGTGCCTATACTATAGAATGAAAATTAAGATTGCAAATCTTAACTCTAATACACAAAGCTATCTTTTCTTTCCCATGAGTAACACAAGCAGGGTCAGTGCAGTGGTTTGTGTGGACTATGCATTACACAGAGGTACCTGACTGAGGGCCAAGGGCTGAACTCTGACCTGAGCTCTGAGCCCTGGCCTCAGGCTACATCCACCTGGAACAAAGGTACTCTTTTATAATTTACACACAGGCTCCACACGTGCAGTCAGGAGCCCTGCTAACTTTGAGATTATGTCCTCCTTATGCTCAAAATGTTGTAGGATTTAGTGCCCATAGCCCCCACCCCCCCACCCTCCCCACCCCCAACCCCCGCCCCCCACCCCTTACTTGTGACTTTCTCTGGGTTTGTTCTATTTATAGAAATGTCATTGTAATTTCCATGACAATGGATGCTGGCTGGGAAGATAATTTTCCTATCTTTTCTTGGCCCCCCATCTAGGGCTTTAGGAACAAAGCCTTCCTGGATTGACAAATTCATCAGTGCCCTTCTGCAGGCAGCAGACGCTAACGTGATCGCTGTGGACTGGGTTTATGGCTCTACAGGTGTCTACTTCTCAGCCGTGGAAAATGTGGTTAAGCTGGGACTCGAGATCTCCCGTTTCCTCCGTAAGCTCCTGGTAGGTGTAGAAGAGCTTAGGGTGAGTTCTGGCTGCTTACGGGGGAGCAAGGGGTCAGAAAGAAGGAAGTGACATGTGAGAAGGAGCTTTAGGTGGAAGCAGAGCCACCCAGTAGTCTGTGGGTCTTCGGTTCAAATCTCAACCTAGCCGCTTACAGTGCTGACCTTGGGCAGGTTTTTGAACCTCTCTGAGCCTCCCGCTTGCTCCTCTGTAAAACATGCCACTGCATGTTACATCAGAGGTGCCAATGGCTGACTCTTCTAGGTCCTCAAGAGGAAATGGCCATGGTCATGCCTCACATACGTTGGACACCAATGGGAAAGTGAGTGGGTTGTCAAGGTGGGGAGCCCAGGGAGAGGGCAAGTGATTAACAGGGTGAGATTCTGCACTTTTTCCCAAAGCACGTGTGGCTGGTGTGTCATGCCCAAGACCTTCTGCTTCTGATGCCTCAGGGCAAAGTGTTATCCTTGTAAGGCCAGGGGCTGCTGTGACACAAATGTAACTCACTGTAAATACCCGTTCTAGGTGCTGGGTGTGTCAGAGTCCTCAATCCACATCATTGGTGTCAGCCTGGGGGCCCATGTGGGGGGCATGGTAGGACATTTCTACAAAGGCCAGCTGGGACAGATCACAGGTAACATTCTTCCCTGCCCATCCTCTCAGGTTGAGAGAGAGAGAGAGAGAGAGAGATCGTGACCTGGAAGAGCCTTTGCTAAGGCAGGCAGAGGGAAGTGTTGGGCCTTTGTTCTTATGATCAAGTCATTGATCACCACTGAAATTTACTTATTGTGGCCCTTTTGGATAAAATGGTATTGTGTTGTTATTGCATGATCTCTAATGTCAGTGTTAGAGGCCATGTATTTCTTTCTGAGCCTCAGTTTCTACAACTGTAAAATGGGTTGTAACAGCTCATATATCCTTGGCCCACTATGGAAATCACCTGTAGACAGTTTTGCTAAATACTTGCAAAGTGCTGAGAACTTTATGCTTCAGGAGCTACCCTCAATCAATAAGGGACCAGAGCTGTGTGGTAAATACCCTGGCTTCCTGACACTTCATTGAGACAATTCTGAGTCATGTTCTACAGAGTCCTTCAGAGGGACCCCAGTGGGATGAGACCCAAAGAGATAATCTATTCATTAAAATTTTCTTTCGTTCTCTGACTCGTTTTTCCACTCCCTCACTATGCTTTCTGTGATTTTCTCCCAAATAAGCTACTTGCACTTTAAATCCTTGTCTCACAGTCTGCTTTTTGGGAGGAAGAGGAAAAGGGATCCAAGCTAAGGCCTGGGGAGAGTAATATTTACTTTGCTCTGTTGTTGTAAGGACTAGAAAGTGTGGAAGTGCCCAGCACAAGGCCTGGCACATAGTAACTACTCAAAAAATTATAGCCATTGTTATTACTACCTGAGGATTAATAATACTGACATTAATCCTTACCAAATGGTTGGTGTTAGCAAGCACATTTCAGAGCCAGAGAAACTGGGTCATTGAGAGGTTAGAGACAACAGAGTAGAGCTTCCTGGGAAAGGTGGTCCTGAGCTAGTTCTCTTGCCCTTGGGTCCTTGTTGGGGGACTCTGATCCGAACCGGAAGGGTTGCCCATGTAGGTGTGCAGTGGGTCCATGGGGCTTCCTGTGGCTGACATGTCTGTCCTTGCAGGCCTGGACCCTGCTGGACCGGAGTACACAAGAGCCAGCCTGGAGGAGCGCCTGGACCCTGGGGACGCCCTCTTTGTGGAAGCCATCCACACAGACACGGACAGTGAGCTGGGGTGGGGGAATGAGCACAGGGCAGAGGCCAGGAGTCTGGTATTTCTCTGTGTGGTCCTGGGAGGAGACCCTTCCCCTCTAAGCTTCTGTTGCAGTGAGGAGTTTACTAGCATGATCTTGAAAGTCTCTTCCAGCTCTGTCATTCTCTGAAGACTGAGATGAATGATTTTATTTTTAGCCAGCAGCAGAAAGGAGGATTCTCATTTGTGGACCAAAACTGTTTGGTCATGAGTCTCACTCTGATTCAACACTAAGCTTTGTCTGAGGTAGTACTCAGAGGGCACTTCTGCCTGGGAAAGTCTTTCTGCTTTTTCAGGGTGAACATGCCTGGCCCCAGGAAATTGGGGCATTCCACTCCTGGGGCAGGTACTCAGACCTATCAGGACTTCCCTCCTCCCCAGAGGATAAGGCCAGCCCTCAGTCTAGTGAAGAATGAGAATTGCCCCCTCCAGTAATGAGTGGCACAGTCAAGAACCCCCAGCTCTGAATCCATCGTGACCAAATGAAGCTCTTCTGACCAGCGGCCAGTCCTCTTCATTTCTACTCGACGTCAAACACCCACAGAGTCTGGTACCAGGCCCCATGCTCAGTGTGTTGGATACAAGAAGAAATTACATTTGTCTCTGACCAGAAGAGTTTGCAGTTCAACTGAGAGATGGCCATGTCTCATTCCATTTGGCTAGAAGCCTTCTTTTAGCATTCAAGACTCACGGATTCAGGATTCTGGAAGAAACTCATGCAATTATATTATTCAACCCTCTTTGCCACCTCCATTTCACAGATAGGAAACCAAAACCCATAGCCCTCTGCTTAGCTATTAAGTTAATTAAACATGTCAATTAACAAGGTTAACGCCTTATATTCCTAAATTTGCTAAATAGGTGACTCATTGGTCCCTGATTACCTGTGCTGGGCCTCTCAGTCCCCTTCAAAGTTGGAGCCACTTCCTAATGTGATTAAAAAAAAAAGGCATTCCATTTGTTCAGTCGGTCTTTATGATCTATGTAGCAGGCACTGAGGATACTACAATGCACAAGGCACCAAATAAGATCCCTGCCCACATGGAACTTACAAGCTAGTCGGCAAGCATTCGTTCACTAATTTGTTCAATAAATAAGTATTTGGCACTAACGTGTGCCAGGTACTGTGCTGGTGTTGGGGATACAGCAGGAAAAAAGACGGGTAAAGGCCCTGCCGTGGTGGAGCTTACATACAAGCGAGGAGTCAAGATAATGGCCAAGGAGGTGATATTTGAGGTGAGACTTTTTGGATGAGAATGAGCCGGTACTGGAAAGAACGGGGAGAAGAACACTCTAGGGGGAGAGGACAGCCAAAATGAAAGCCTTGTGGGTGGGGACAGGCAGAAGAGCCACGTGGTTAGAGCACAGTGAGTGATGTGCTGAGAAAAGGGAGCAGGACCAGGCTGGACATGGCGAGGAGTTTAAATTCTATTCTATGCTCAGTGAGGAGAGGACGGCGATTTGGATTTCCTTAGAAGAATACTCTGGCTGCTGGGCAGAGAATGGACTGCCAGTGGGCAGTAAGGGAAGGCTCACTGGAGGGTGTTTGCAGTGCTGGCCTGGGTGAGGGGCACGATAGTGGCACGGGCGAAGGTGGTGGCAGTAGAGATGGAGAGAAGTAGAAAGACTCAAAATATATTTTGGAGGTAGAGCTGACCCAACAGATGATGGGAGAGGATGAATTCTAGGTCATCACTTAACCCCTGGATAGATGACGTTAAGCAAGTAATACACGCTCAGTTGCTTACAACTGTGATAGATAATATGAACAAGAAAATCAGGGTCTTTGGCAGCTGAATCTGACCAAGTCTGAAGGGTCAGATACAGTCACAACGATGAGATGCAGGCTACAGCCTCTCAAACTCATCTCTTTGTAGCCAGATTATATTTCTGCTCAGTCATGAAAGCACAAAAATATGTGGGAGACTGGAAATGTGGTCTCACACACACATATCTGAACTATCACTTGAAGCAAAATAGAAAGTATTCAACAAGGAAATTTACCGAACTTATTATAACATTTACTGATTCATAAAAACTTATATTAAGGGATATTTTTCTTGATTTTATTAGGCAAATATGAGTATCTTCTTATAAATGTATTCTTAGCTTCCTTTCAGCACGGCAAAACCTGTTTAGAAAACCATCTGAGGGCTAGTTCTGTAGTCTCCCAGCACTTAGGAATGAAGTGGGCACCCATTCAGCACAGAGAGGGGGTGGGCCCCCAAGGTCAGACCTCAGGCTCTGCTGCCGGTGGACCCTGCTATGGGACCTGGAAAATAGGCCCCTGCAGTAAGTGGGTAACGGGGTTCTGCCTCCTTGCAGATTTGGGTATTCGGATTCCTGTTGGACATGTGGACTACTACATCAACGGAGGCCAAGACCAACCCGGCTGTCCCACCTCCATTTCTGCAGGTCAGAAAGCCAGAGAGAGTTGATGTATGGCTGCCCCAGAGACTGGAATTTACCAACAGGCTTCGTGTTGAGTCAGCCAGTATGGGCCATAGGGGGTCTTCCTTACAGTATCCTTTGCTGTGTCCCATCAAGCTTACTCAGCACTTATTAAATGGATGTCTTTGGAGCCCAGGTATTCTAGGGGAGGAGTGCCTGAAATTAAAAGCCTGCTCCATATTTAGGCTCCCTCCCCACTTCTTAGGCCCTGCTGTGATCCAACGTCACTCAAGCCAATAACTTCTCTTCTTCCTGGGCCCCACTTTGTGGCAGAGTCCACAGTAGCTACATCCTCTGCAGAACCTCGCTGTGGCAGAAACAGACTGAGGTGCCCAAAGCTAGCTAGCTGAAGGATCAATTCAGTGCATGACCATTTCCCCAAACTAACTAAATTTAAGTTCTCTAAAATTGCTTTCAAGATAATCTTCTTGAATACATTCAGTGAATATGCATTTCTTCTCTTCTAAATGTATTCTTCTGGAATGTTCTTTTTGGATATATTAATTGAATATATTCTTAGCATAATTTTAAATTTATCAAAAGCTAAGCGTTGAGGCTTCCCTGGTGGCACAGTGGTTGAGAGTCCGCCTGCCGATGCAGGGAACGTGGGTTCCTGCCCCGGTCCGGGAAGATCCCACATGCCGTGGAGCGGCTGGGTCCGTGAGCCATGGCCACTGAGCCTGCGCGTCCGGAGCCTGTGCTCCGCTATGGGAGAGGCCACAGCAGTGAGAGGCCCGCGTACCGCAAAAAAAAAAAAAAAAAAAAAAAGCAGCTAAGCGTTAAGGATTGTGTAGTCTTCTTATATTCTTATGAATATAGCCAACCTATCAACATTTCATATGGGAATTTCATTTTGATTTTTGATTACTATGTTTTTAACCTTTTCCTGCTTTACCAAAATTTTAACATTTTAAGGATTCTTTTGACCACTGTGTTGAGTAACCACTAATCCAAACTTATCAACTTTACTGATTTTCCAAAAACATGTTTCTTTTAACAATTCATAAAATTTTTCAGCAATTCCGATCAGATGGGATGGTTTGATTTTAATGGCTTTTGAAAATTTCTTTGGCATTTTAATTGGCCACTTTTTTTTCTTCATAACACAATCTGAGAAGGGAAGACACAATCTGTGTCTCCCAGCTCCCTGTTATAGCTAGAAGGAGGTCGGCCATAGACAGTGTTCCAACTCTGGGGGAAAGGAAAGTCAGCAAGCAGCTCAGACTTGGTTCTGGTCCCAGAGAGGGGGTCCCAAGGTGAAAGAAGAGTCTGAAGACCCTAAACCCTGGAGTTATGGCTCATTATAGACCTCTTAGCCCCAGCAAATTCATTCAGTGTGAATTATTACAAATTTTAAAATAGTCAACAAAAGGGGGAAAGTGGGGGTGGGTGGTGGTGGTGGTGGTGTGATGAACTGGGAGACTGGGATTGACATATATACACTAATATGTATAAAATAGATAACTAATAAGAACCTGCTGTATAAAAATAAAATAAAATAAAATAGTCAACAACAACAATAACCAGAAAACCAAGTGTCTGTTATATTGGGACATTTGGCAAATTCAGTGTATCAGTCACTTGGTGAGGTGAACCTCAACACCCTGGCTTTCTTTTTTTTTTTTTTAGGTGGGTTCCAATTTTTATTATTGTTGTTAATAATAATACAATGAATGTGCTTACACACCAACCCTTCCCCTTTCTTTTTTTTTTAACATCTTTATTGGAGTGTAATTGCTTTAAAATGTTGTGTTAGTTTCTGCTATATAACAAAGTGAATCACCTATATGTACACATATATCCCCATATCCCCTCCTTCTTCTTGCGTCTAACTCCCACACTCCCTATCCCACCCCTCTAGGTGGTCACAAAGCACCGAGCTGATCTCCCTGTGCGATGTAGCTGCTTCCCACTAGCTATCTATTTTACATTTGGTAGTGTATATATGTCCATGCCACTCTCTCACTTCGTCCAGGCTTACCCTTTCCCCTCCCTGTGTCCTTGAGTCCATTCTCTACGTCTGCGTCTTTATTCCTGTCCTGCCCTAGGTTCATTAGAACCTTTTTTTTTTTTTTTTAGAGTCCATATATATATGTTAGCATACGATATTTGTTTTTCTCTTTCTGACTTACTTCACTCTGTATGACAGACTCCAGGTCCATCCACCTCACTACAAATAACTCAATTTTTGTTTCTTTTAATGGCTGAGTAATATTCCATTGTATATATGTGCCACATCTTCTTTATCCATTCATCTGTCAATGGACACTTAGGTTGCGTCCATGTCCTGGCTATTGTAAATAGAGCTGCAGCGAACATTGTGGTACACGACTCTTTTTGAATTATGGTTTTCTCAGGGTATATGCCCAGTAGTGGATTCCTGGGTCATATGGTAGTTATACTTTTAGTTTTTTAAGGAACCTCCGTACTGTTCTCCACAGTGGCTGTATCAATTTACATTCCCACCAGAAGTGCAAGAGGGTTCTCTTTTCTCCACACCCTCTCCAGCATTTATTGTTTGTAGATTTTTTGATGATGGCCAGTCTGACCAGTGTGAGGTGATACCTCATTGTAGTTTTGATTGCATTTCTCTAATGATTAATGATGTTGTGCATCCTTTCATGTGTTTGTTGGCAATCTGTATATCTACTTTGGAGAAATATCTACTTAGGTCTTCTACCCATTTTTGGATTGGGTTGTTTGTTTTTTTGATATTGAGCTGCATGAGCTGCTTGTATATTTGGGAGATTAATCCTTTGTCAGTCACTTTGTTTGCAAATATTTTCTCCCATTCTGAGGGTTCTCTTTTCGTCTTGTTTATGGTTTCCTTTGCTGTGCAAAAGCTTTTGTTTCATTAGGTCCCATTTGTTTATATTTCCATTTCTCTAGGAGATGGGTCAAAAAGGATCTTGCTGTGATTTTTGTCATAGAGTGTTCTGCCTATGTTTTCCCCAAAGTGTTTTATAGTCTGCCCTTATATTTAGGTCTTTAATCCATTTTGAGTTTATTTTTGTATATGGTGTTCGGGAGTGTTCTAATTTCATTCTTTTACATGTAGGTGTCCAGTTTTCCCAACATCACTTATTGAAGAGGCTGTCTTTTCTCCATTGTATACTCTTGCCTCCTTTATCAAAAAAAGGTGACCATATGTGTGTGAGTTTATCTCTGGGCTTTCTATCCTGTACCATTGATCCATATTTCTGTTTTTGTACCACTACCATACTGTCTTGATTACTGTAGCTTTGTAGTATAGTCTGAAGTCAGGGAGCCTGATTCCTCCAGCTCTTTTTTCTTTCTCAAGATTGCTTTGGCTATTTGGGGTCTTTTGTGTTTCCATACAAATTGTTAATTTTTTTGTTCTAGTTCTGTGTAAAATGCCATTGATAGTTTGATAGGGATTGCTTTGAATCTGTAGATTGCTTTGGGAAGTATAGTCATTTACACAATGGTGATTCTTCCAATCCAAGAACATGGTATGTCTCCCATCTGTTTGTATCATCTTTAATTTCTTTCATCAGTGTCTTATAGTTTTCTGCATACAGGTCTTTTGTCTCCTTAGTTAGGTTTATTCCTAGGTATTTTATTCTTTTTGTTGCAGTGGTAAATGGGAGTGTTTCCTTAAATTCTCTTTCAGATTTTTCATCATTAGTGTATAGGAATGCCAGAGATTTCTGTGCATTAATTTTGTATCCTGCTATTTTACCAAATTCATTGATTAGCTCTAGTAGTTTTCTGGTAGCATCTTTAGGGCTCTCTATGTATAGTATCATGTCATCTACAAATAGTGACAGTTTTATTTCTTCTTTTCCAATACGGATTCCTTTTATTTCTTTTTCTTCTCTTATTGCTGTGGCTAAAACTTCCAAAATTATGTTGAATAAGAGTGGTAAGAGTGGGCAAACTTGTCTTGTTCCTGATCTTAGAGGAAATGGTTTCAGTTTTTCACCATTGAGAATGATGTTGGCTGTGGGTTTGTCATATATGGCCTTTATTATGTTGAAGTAAGTTCCCTCTGTGCCTACTTTCTGGAGAGTTTTTATCATAAATGGGTGTTGAATTTTGTGGAAAGCTTTTTCTGCATCTATTGAGATTATTATAGGTTTTTATCCTTCAATTTGTTAATATCGTGTATCACATTGGTTGATTTGCATATACTGAAGAATCCTTGCATTCCTGGGATAAATCCCACTTGATCATGGTGTATGATCCTTTTAATGTGCTGTTAGATTCTGTTTGCAAGTATTTCGTTGAGGATTTTTGCATCTATGTTCATCAGTCATATTGGTCTGTAGTTTTCTTTTTTTGTGACATCTTTGTCTGGTTTAGGTATAAGGGTGATGGTGGCCTTGTAGAATGAGTTTGGGAGTGTTCCTCCCTCTGCTATATTTTGGGAGAGTTTGAGAAGGATAGGTCTTAGTTCTTCTCTAAATGTTTGATAGAATTCACCTGTGAAGTTATCCGGTCCTGGGCTTTTGTTTGTTGCAAGATTTTTTATCACAGTTTCATTTTCAGTGCTTGTGATTGGTCTGTTTATACTTTCTATTTCTTCCTCGTTCAGTCTCGGAAGGTTGTGCTTTTCTAAGAATTTGTCCATTTCTTCCAGGTTGTCCATTTTATTGGCATAGCGTTGCGTGTAGTAATCCCTCATGATTCTTTGTATTTCTGCAGTGTCAGTTGTTACCTCTCCTATTTCATTTCTAATTCTGTTGATTTGAGTCTTGACCCTGTTTTTCTTGATGAATCTGGTTAATGGTTTATCAATTTTGTTTATCTTCTCAAAGAACCAGCTTTTAGTTTTATTGATCTTTGCCATTGTTTCCTTCATTTCTTTTTCATTTATTTCTGATCTGATCTTTATGATTTTTTTCCTTCTGTTAACTTTGGGGTTTTTTTGCTCTTCTTTCTCTAATTGCTTTAGGTGTAAGGTTAGGATGTTAATTTGAGATTTTTCTTGTTTCCTGAGGTAGGATTGTATTGCTATAAACTTCCCTCTTAGAACTGCTTTTGCTGCATCCCATAGGTTTTGGATCATTGTCATTCGTTTCTAGGTATTTTTTGATTTCCTCTTTGATTTATTCTGTGATCTCTTGGTTAGTCAGTAGCATATTGTTTAGCCTACATGTGTTTGTCTTTTTTACATTTTTTTCCCTGTAATTGATATCTGGTCTCATAACATTGTGATTGGAAAAGATACTTGATACAATTTCAATTTTCTTAAATTTACCAAGGCTTGATTTGTGACCCAAGATGTGATCTATCATGGAGAATGTTCCATGAGCACATGTGAAGAAAGTGTATTCTGTTGTATTTGGATGGAATATCCTATGAATATCAATTAAGTCCATCTTGTTTAATGTGTCATTTAAAGCTTGTGTTTCCTTATTTATTTTTATTTTGGATGATCTGTCCATTGGTGAAAGTGGGGTGTTAAAGTCCCCTACTACAATTGTGTTACTGTCTGTTTCCCCTTTTATGGCTGTTAGCATTTGCATTATGTATCGAGGTGCTCCTATGTTGGGTGCATAAATATTTACAATTGTTATATCTTCTTCTTGGATTGATCCCTTGATCATTATGTAGTGTCTTTCTTTGTCTTTTGTAATAGGCTTTATTTTAAAGTCTATTTTGTCTGATATGAGAATGGCTACTCCAGCTTTCTTTTGATTTCCATTTGCATGGAATATCTTTTTCCAACCCCTCACTTTCAGTCTGTATGTGTCTGTAGGTCTGAAGTGGGTCTCTTGTAGACAGCATATATACAGGTCTTGTTTTTGTATCCATTCAGCCAGTCTATGTCTTTTGGTTGGAGCAATTAATCCATTTACATTTAAGGTAATTATCGATACATATGTTCCCATTACCATTTTCTTAATTGCTTTGGGTTTGTTATTGTAGGTCTTTTCCTTCTCTTGTGTTTCCTACCTAGAGAAGTTCCTTTAGCATTTGTTGTAGAGCTGGTTTGGTGATGCTGAATTCTCTTAACTTTTGTTTGTTTGTAAAGATTTTAATTCTCCATCAAATCTGAATGAGATCCTTGCTGGGTAGAGTAATCTTGGTTGTAGGTTTTTCCCTTTCATCACTTTAAATATGTCCTGCCACTCCCTTCTGACTTGCAGAATTTCTACTGACAGATCAGCTGTTAACCTTATGGGGATTCCCTTGTATGTTATTTGTTGCTTTTCCTTTGCTGCTTTTAATATTTTTTCTTTGTATTTAATTTTTGATAATTTGATTCATATGTGTCTTGGCGTGTTTCTCCTTGGATTTATCCTGTATGGGACTCTCTGCACTTCCTGGACTTAACTATTTCCTTTCCCATATTAGGGAAGTTTTCAACTATAATCTCTTCATATATTTTCTCAGACCTTTTTTTTTTTTGTCTTCTTCTGGGACCCCTATAATTCGAATGTTGGCACATTTAATGTTGTCCCAGAGGTCTCTGAGACCGTCCTCAATTCTTTTCATTCTTTTTTCTTTATTCTGCTCTACAGTAGTTATTTCCACTATTTTATCTTCCAGGTCCCTTATCCGTTCTTCTGCCTCAGTTATTCTGCTATTGATTCCTTCTAGGGAATTTTAAATTTCATTTATTGTGTTGTTCATTATTGTTTGTTTGCTCTTTAGTTCTTCTTGTTCCTTGTTAAATGTTTCTTGTATTTTCTGCATTCTATTTCCAAGATATTGGATCATCTTTACTATCATTACTCTGAATTCTTTTTCAGGTAGACTGCCTGTTTCCTCTTCATTTGTTTGGTCTGGAGGGTTTTTACCTTGCTCCTTCTTCTGCTGCATATACCTGTTTTCTCATTTTGTTTAACTTACTGTGTTTGGGGTCTCCTTTTTGCAGGCTGCAGGTACATAGTTCCTGTTGTTTTTGGTGTCTATGGTCAGTGGGTGAGGTTGGTCCAGTGGCTTGTGTAGGCTTCCTGGTGGAGGGGACTGGTGCCTGTGTTCTGGTGAGTGGGGCTGGATCTTGTCTTTCTGGTGGGCAAGGCTGTGTATGGTGGTGTGTTTTGGGGTGTCTGTGAACTTAGTATGATTTTAGGCAGCCTCTCTGCTAATGGGTTGGGTTTTGTTCCTGTCTTGCTAGTTGTTTGGCATGGGGCGTCCAGCACTGGAGCTTGCTGGATGCCCTATGCCATGCCCAGCTCTGTTGGGTGGAACTGGGTCTTAGCATTGAGATGGAGATTTCTTGGAGAGTTCTCGCCGATTGATATTACGTGGGGTCAGGAGGTCTCTGGTGGTCCAGTGTCCTGAACTCAGCTCTCCCGCCTCAGAGGCTCAGGCCTGACACCAGGCCAGAGCACCAAGACCCTGTCAGCCACACACCTCAGAAGAAAAGGGAGAAAAAAAGAAAGAAAGAAATAATAATAAAATAAAAAAATATATTTTTAAAAAGTAATAATAAAATAATAATAAAAACAAGAGAGCAACAAAACCAATAAACAAATCCACCAATGATAACAAGTGCTAAAATCTATACTAAGATAAATATAAAAATCAGAAACAAGTCAGTCACAGACAGCAAACCCCAAGTCTACAGTTGCTCCCAAAGTCCACCGCCTCAATTTTTTGTTGATTCGTTGTCTATTCAGGTATTCCACAGATGTAGGGAACCTCAAGTTGATTGTGGGGATTTAATCTTCTGCTGCTGAGGCTGCACAGAGAAATTTCCCTTTCTGTTTGCACAGCTCCTGGGGTTCAGCTTTGGTTTTGGCCCTGCATGTAGGTCGCCCTCAGGCATCTGTTCCCTGCCCAGACAGGAGGGGATGAAGCAGCGGCTGATTAGGGGGCTCTGGCTGTCTCATGCTGTGGGGAGGGAGGGGTACAGTAGTTATAATTGGAATGCAGGGTGAGCCTGTAGCAGCAGAGGCCAGTGTGACATTGCAACAGCCTGAGGTACACCATGTGTTCTCCCAGGGAATTTGTCCCTGGATCACGGGACCCTGGCAGTGGCGGGCTGCACAGACTCCCGGGAGGGGAGGTGTGGATAGTGACATGTGCTTGCACACAGGCTTTTTGGTGGCTGCAGCAGCAGCCTTAGCGTCTCATGCCCGTCTCTGGGGTCTGTGCTGATAGCCGAGGCTCGCGCCCATCTCTGGAGCTCGTTTAGGCGGTGGTCTGAATTCCCTCTCCTCGTGCACCCCGAAACAATGGTCTCTTGCCTCTTAGGCAGTTCCAGACTTCTTCCCGGACTCCCTCCCGGCTAGCTGTGGTGCACTAGCCCCTTCAGGCTGTGTTCACGCAGCCAACCCCAGTCCTCTCCCTGGGATCTGACCTAAGCCTGAGCCTCAGCTCCCAGCCCTGACCCGTCCTGGCGGGTGAGCAGACAAGCCTCTCGGGCTGGTGAGTGCTGGTCAGCACCGATCCTCTGTGCAGGAATCTCTCCACTCTTCCCTCTGCACCCCTGTGGCTGTGCTCTCCTCTGTGGCTCCAAAGCTTCCCCTCCCACCACCCTCTGTCTCCTCCAGTGAAGGGGCTTCCTAGTGTGTGGAAACCTTTCCTCCTTCACAGATCCATTCCCAAGGGGCAGGTCCTATCCCTATTCTTTTGTCTCTGTTTTTTCTTTTTTCTTTTGCCCTACCCAGGTACGTGGGGAGTTTCTTGCCTTTTGGGAAGTCTGAGGTCTTCTGCCAGCGTTCAGTAGGTGTTCTACAGGAGTTGTTCCACATGTAGATGTATTTTTGATGTATTTGTGGGGAGGAAGTTGATCTCCGTGTCTTACTCTGCCATCTTGAAGGTCTAACGCATTGGCTTTCATTGATGGACTGTGAACTGCGGGGGACTCCCTTGATTGTCTTGTTGCTGGGTTGTGTATAATGAGGTTGTAAAAAATTGGTTGTGTGGGTGATGCTGAAGAAGGTAAAAATGTGCAGACAGATATCCGTTTTGAGAGGGAGGATTGGGATCGCCAGCTCTCTGTATGTTCCCATTTTCTTAAAGAGAGTTTTTATGATCGTGGAAGAATGGGTGTGTATGTAAACAATTTTCTTGGTAAATTAACTAAGTTACCCAGGAAAGTTAAAAAGAAAAGTGAGAGTGTAGTAACCATGTTCATTAATATTTTTAAAATGTGGCTCCAGGGACATCCCACGTATTTATAGCCTGTTGGAGTATAAAATTCAATAAAATTACAGTAAGTAGCATGGAGGGAGTTTCCATTTGTCTTGAACTGAAACCTTCGTTGTGTTCTTTTTGCCCTGTTCAGGCTACAGTTATCTGATCTGTGATCACATGAGGGCTGTGCACATCTACATCAGTGCCCTGGAGAATTCCTGTCCATTGATGGCCTTTCCTTGTACCAGCTACAAGGTCTTCCTTGCTGGACACTGTCTGGATTGTTTCAACCCTTTTCTGCTTTCCTGTCCAAGGATCGGTAAACGCTACCCCTTTGGCTTCCTTTGACAGTTTGGGGAAAGTTCAAATCTTGTCACCTCTTTAAGTCCTGATCTCCTATGGTCAAGAGGTCTACCCGAGCAGGGTAAAGAAAACTTAAGCAATGAGTCGTTCAGCCTGTCCTCACCTGGAAGGTGGTGTTTAGCTCTCTGCATCCCACCCCTCACCCTCTATACCACTGCCTGATGCCATACTGGCTCTGCACACAACCCCCCCCCACACACACAGGCACTGGCAGGTAAGTCCAGCCTCAGGATGCTCTCCAGAAGCACTGGTATAGTCCAGATTGTCTGTACCCACTCTCAGACCCGATGCTCACCATAGGTCTTCCTCGCTAGGCCAGCCATTCTCCAATTCCTGATAGGCTGTAAATCCCCAAGGCTGGCACACTGTGCCCACCTTAGAGGTGTGAGACCTCATGCCGGCTGGAGGGGTTCCTAACTGCCGAGTGGCCTGGGCACACTCGTGGATGATCCAGGCCAGTCTGGAGAGAAGGGCTCAGGAAGGCTGAGGCTCCAGCCTCAACTCACCCTGTGCAGATCATGGCTGTGAAAATCCTGGGGTCATCCAGTGTGGAGGGCTCCAGGAAAACGCCTGGGTAGTGTAAATGGGTCTTCCCCCTCCCTCACTCTCCCACTTCCCACTCCTGGCTGCCACTCAGAACCGCAGCAGCCTGCCATTGCTTATAGAAATGAAATTAATATCAGCTTGACAAAATGTTAAAGCAGGGGTGGTTTCCCATAATAAAGCGAATCAATATTACTTCCTACTCATCGGGCATATGTCACTGTTTCCCACAGATGTGATGGACCAGACGGTTTAACAACCACTTCACACTGCCCCGCCTCATCTCTCGCTAGCCTTTCCCTTTTTTCCAAACACCACAGGGATGCTAACTACTTATACCGCCAAGAGTATTTCATGTTTCCTCACCCTGTGTCCCTTTGCCCAGACTGTACTTTCTGCCTGGAATGCCCTTCTCTGACTTGCCAACCACTATTCTTCAGCTCAAGCACCTCCCTGTGCTCCAGTGCACAGGATACAAACGCCACTAAAACAACTGTCATATAGATTGTTTTGCAAGTTGAAGACATCATTTCAAATTTCTTATAAATACTCCCTGGGAATGGGCCAGACAATCTGCAGAATGTATTTGTTGTCTACCTGTATGTTTATTCCCATCTGGATGGGGTCGCTTGTATCCCAGGACTCACCGCAGGGCACGGCGCATCATGAGTATACAGTGGAGTTGTCTGTGGAACAAATGGGTGCATGAATTAATCGATACATGGCTGGGTGCTGTGAAGCCCTGAAATGGCCTCCTCAGGGCTCTGCTGTCTTTGCTTCTCTATCTCTAGGACTGGTGGAACAAGGTGGTGTTAAGATAGAGCCACTTCCCAAGGAAGTGAAGGTCTACCTCCTGACCACTTCCACGGCTCCATATTGCGGTGAGTGCGGGCAAATGAGCTGCTCAGCTCTGCCAGTGTGCTGTCCAGCTGAGTCCAGGGCTCTGTCTTGGGCTGTGTCCAGCCCAGCATGGTAGCTGAAGTGGGAGGTGAAGACCTGGGGCAAAAATGTCATGGGAAGGGAGAGGTGGGGGACAGCAGCTACTGGTCTTAGATAGAACCAAAACTTTTCAGAGCTAGCCCAAACCACTGCTCTGTGGATGAAAACTTGGCGGCATCTTACCTTACTGTCGGTACACTGGTCTTCATTCCTCCCCACCCCGCCATGGAAACCTGCCTTCCAGTGTAGGTTCTCTCTGGAGTGGTATTTGGGAGTACCTTTTGGATTTCTCCTTCCTGCATGCATTTCCCCCTCCTTATTGCCCATCCTATGTGTCTCCCACTCTGGCAGCCCTCCTAGGTCGGGGTCCACGAGGAATACTGAACCTTCATATACATATTCCAGCCATTTACTATGGCTCCTAACCACTGCATTTCATTGAAGCTAAGATGCCAGCGATTGTGAGACATGTTTAATGTGAGAGAAATGGGCGTCTTAGTATCTATGACATACATTACAGGCTGAACCATCCTCCTTCCCTATGCTATTTGCATCTTAACTAGGTTGACTATACTTCCTGATTTTGTTATCCTGTTATCCTGGTTCATTGTGTGTTCAGAATAGAAGTACGCTGGTTTGGAGGGGACATTATATGATCACCTAATTCTAAATGATTTTCTGATCAGCTGGTGTCTGGTTGGTTGGTGGAGGGGTCTTTGTGGCTATACATTCCTGGTACTAGAGGGCCTGGTGAAGTGTGAGACAGAGCTCGAAGCTCAGGCTCTGTGGTCACCCAGACCTGGATCTGAATTTCGGCTTCTCCATTTACCAGCTGTGTCATCAGGAACAAGTTTTTTTTAACCTTTCTGAACCTCTATAGACTTATGTGGAAAATGGGAAAAATAACAGTACCTATTTCAAAGAATCAATTGTGAGGATAAAATAAAATACATAGTACACAATCACCAGCACAGTGACTGGAACTCAGTAAGTAATAACTCCCTTCCCTCTGTCAACGGGAGAATTTGGGAGATGAGGTGGGGGTGTTTCTAACTTCATGCCAGAGAGAATACGTGGCTACTTCTTAGGAATAAAGTGGGTTACAAGAGTCACCTGTGGGCTTTCCACATGTATCAGCTCATCTGAGAACCCAGCCCCGAGCGGTGATGTGCCCAAGGCTGCGTGGGTGGGTGAAGAGGTCAGCATTCAACTCCAGGTCTTCTGACTCCAAAACCTTTACCTTTTCCAGGTCATCATCTGCCTCCATACTTGTGTCTCTGTCCCCTCTTCCAAGAACCTGCTCTTTTCAGCTGTATTTCTCAGTTAGGTCAGCCTGAGGGAGGACTTTGTCCGGGTCGGAGGTGGGGCTGCAGGAACCAGACATCCCGTTTCTACTTCCAGCTCCAGGGCAGCTTCGCGACAGCTCCTCTCTGTCCGCATAGCCTGAGGAACACCTGGAAGTTAAAGGCATTTTTAGGTCCCTGCTAAGGGTGATTCACCAGGCCATACATTTTCTGACTGTTTCATTTTTGTTGTGAGACAAAAGTATGGCTTTTGTCTCCCCATTCCCCCAGAAGTATGGCTGTGTCTGTTCAAAAACCTCAGCGGACCTGCCTCTTCTGAGCCTTCCATTCTGAGCATCAGAGCTGGACCCATCCTCTCCTGGGGGTGGGAGGTACGGGGCACCCACCGGGTAGCCCACCTGGCAGCTCCCGCTCTCACCCACTCCCAAGCCATCATGGCACTGAGCTCCCATCACCCAGCACTCTTGGCCTGCAGTCACCGTTGGCCTCTGCCAGGCAGGCACCAGAATGGACAGAGAATCTTCTCCAAAAAATCATTTTTCTCACAATATTACTTTTCTCTTGTAGAGCAATGTTTCACCCGAAATGTTTTCTCCCCATCACCTCATTTAATCCTCATCATGTTCTGTGAGGTGATGTTGGGGGTTATTGATTATAGATGAAGGAACTGAGGCACAGAGAGGTTCAGTGACTTAGGCAAGGCGATACAACTAGTAAGCAGCAGGCCTGGCCTTGGACCCATTTCCCCTGGCAAACCATCCAGGGCTCATGAGCTGTTTCCCATGTCATGTCCCCAAGCAGGTCGGATTTCACTACCAGCTCCTACCCACCAAATGTTAGCAGACCTGGCCCTCCTAGGGCTTTCAGGGTAATCAGAGAAGAGAGAAGCAGAACCTCAGGAAACTTTCTTAATCAGTGATACATGCTGATAAAGGAAGAAGCGATATAATATATCAAACTCAGCCCAGAGAATTAAATTCCTAAAGCTATGTAAGTTAGCCGTTTTTCCACATTGCAAATATCCACTCCAGTTCAGCCCTTGCCCATCAACATAACAATCTGCATCCGTAATAAACAACTGAGAAAGAGAGACAGAAGGGACGTGGCATCTGACGTTTCGCTCTGTGGAGCGGGGAGCACATAGCGCTCCCTTGTCTTCTTGTGGGTTCTTGGCAGTGAGTCCTGTTACTAACCCCATGAGCCCCGATGGACCACATCACTCCTCCAACTTAGAGCTGACTCTCCTTAAATTCACTTAGTCCTTCCTCCCAATGTTCACCCATAAAACATGACAAACGAAAAAGTACAGGTAGGGCAGAGCTCTAGCTATGTCCCAACCACCAAAGGAGTCTGTGAAAATGTTCGGAGACCGAAGTCACTGCATGGTGCCACCAGATGGGCTTACCCCTTAGTGAGGAAAGGATGGGGTGCTGGGGAAGCTGTAACCCTTCTAAACCTCTCTTGCCAAAGGGGCAGCAGGTCTGGGGATATCACCGTGAACCAGGCTGCTCAGCCAGTCTGTGTCGAAAATACCGGCTTTGAGAGCCTCGGTGTCTGTGCTGCCCAAGCAGGTGGAGATGCCACACAGGCACCCAGCCACCACAGAGAGGGCAGTAGTCATCTCCTGCACACATGGTGGGTTCCCTGACACAGGGGGTATGCTAAGGCGGGGAGGGGCGTTGCTCTATTTTATGAGTTAATTGTTTAGTATAAGATAGACCCTTTTTGGTTCTTTCAAAATCACACCATCAGGATAATGTCACTCGTTGGTAACAAAGAGTGACACAGTGCCAAAGAGTGGCACATTCTAGGATTACAAGTAATAATAAAAACTCTCATGTATTGAATGATTCCTAGGCACAGGCACTGTCTAAGGACTTTATATGCATTAACGCATTTAATTCTCATTCAGACCTGTGGGGTATGTAATTTATTATCCCAATTTACACTAGAGGAAGCTGAGAACCTGCGACAACAGGTAATCTGCTCCAGGTCACACAGCTGCTAAGAGCGAGAGCGAGATTTCCCAACTGCCCTGCTGCTCTCTGGGACATTTTGTGCATTGCACCCACTGACCTCTGGCCCAGTTATCTGCTCTGCTTTGGTTTCCTAGTGCATCACAGCCTTGTGGAGTTTTACTTGCTGAAGCTGAGAAACCAGGACACCTGCATCACGGTCACCTTCCTTAGCAGCAGTGTCACCTCCTCGGTCACGATCACCATGTACGTAAGTGTCCCACATGGCTGGCTTCTCTCCTTCCATTTACATACATGCACATATATGCCAGGACAGGCACTGTGTGATCACTGATGGGTGGGTGGAGCCAGCTGAGCTGGGGAGGGGGGTGAGGGTGGCACCTGCCACAGATGGACCCACAGATACAGGCTGGGCAACTGTTCCAGGTTCAGGATCAGTACTGGGTCCAAGTATAGTGTATTCAGACAATAGCAGACAAGCAGGCAGACAGCAGTAATGGAACGTCCCAACAGGTGGGGAGAGTTTGGGGATTGGGTCCCTGATAGGAAACAGCATCAGGAATCCAGGCAGGGGTCATTAGGGATGTCAGCAAGTAGGAAGGCCTCAGCCATTGGCCCAGGGAGGGCTGGCCAGAGCCTGGGAAGCACCTACTCCTGGGCGGAGGGATGGGAGGAGAGGGGGGCAGTACTAGATGGGTTTCTAGAACAGACTCTCAGGCAGAGGGTCAGTTAGCAAATGAGTGCAAGGTGAGGACCAGCAGGGTTGATGCTGAGTGGTGCCAATCCCTAGAACTGGGGCTGATTTCCTTTCTTTGTTGGGTCACACTTGGGCCTCGCAGCTGGTGAGACCAGGCTTGAGGTAAGCAGGCAGAGAGCCTCAACTGCAGGGAGCCGCAAGCCTGGCAGGGGACAGGAACTCAGCAGCAGTGGTGCATGTTTCTTTAAAAAGTCATTGGGGGCTTCCCTGGTGGCGCAGTGGTTGAGAGTCCGCCTGCTGATGCAGGGGGCACGGGTTCGTGCCCCGGTCCAGGAAGATCCCACATGCCGCGGAGCGGCTGGGCCCGTGAGCCATGGCCGCTGAGCCTGCGTGTCCGGAGCCTGTGCTCCGCTATGGGAGAGGCCACAGCAGTGAGAGGCCCACGTACTGCAAAAAAAAAAAAAAAAGTCATTGGTTAGTTACTCACAAGCCAGCAGGAGACAGACTAATCAGATAAATCACTGTCTCAGTCAGGGCTCAGCCTGGAAACCAGAGCCCAAGCCAGGCAGTCCCATAGAAGGAAATTAACACAAAGAGCTAATTACAAAAGTGTGGGGAGAACTGAAAACCCGAAAGGAGGATGGGGAGGCAATGCAGAGATCAGCAAAAGGAGTCACTCCACCCCAGAGCTCGAGGGACAAAGCCAGGTGGTGTTGGTAGAACAAGGAATGGGATGGGCGGTGCAGGGTGGGAATGATTGGCAGGAGTGGGAAGCAGGGAGGAAATGCAGCTCCTCCAAATCACTGCCTGAAGCAGCGTCCCGCCTGTGCAGGGGAGCCTGAGAAGTGTGGTTTGCAGGGGGATAGATGGAACACAAACAGGGACGTGACCAGTGCCCATACACAGAAATGCACAATTGTCAGCAGTGGCAGGGGCTACGAGAACAAATAAGATAGAGCCTGACCAAGTGTGAAGAAACAATGTTTGAGTTGAGATCTGAAGGATTTGGAGGATCCTTCCCACCAGACCAGGGGTTAGTGAGATATGACATGGGGAGCAGACAGCAGTGGGACCAGGCATGGGGAGAGGAGGCTGGAGGGGCAAGTCAGGGTCAGACCATGCCACGCCTGGAAGGACAGGGTAGGGATTTGGGGTTTTATCCTGAGAGCAGTTTGGAGAGCTGCTGGGAATTTTAAACGAGAGAGTGATGGGATCAGATTTGGGTTTGGAAACATTTCTCAGGCTGCAGTGATGGATATTAACTGCTGTCAGGGAAAGACAAGTTTCTGCTGGGAGGAGCTCCCGTCTGGGCTCCCAGACACTCTCCCACCAGGCAGTGCTCCAACTCACCCAGGCCGCACAGCACAGGACAGCAGGCAGTCAGGATACCCACACAGATCTTGGGGTGCCCACGTGAGCCTTGCAGATTATAGCTGAGTAATTTTCATTAGATCAGTTCAAGGTCACGTTACTTCTGCAAGGGTGTTTTTATCACCTTTCCAGCCCACTGGTAGATGAGCTGACACTGGCAGGAATCATGACAATGACACACAACTCTGGCTGCTTGTTAGAACCACCTGGAGAGCTTTAAAGAATACTGACAGCAAGCCCCACTCCAGACCAGTAGCAGTAGAATCTCCAGGTATGGCTTCAACCACTACACTGTTAGAAGCTCCCTGAGTGATCGGAATGGACATCCACAGATTCCTTCTTTTTTCTCCCCAAAGAGATTTGCATTATTGTTTTGAAGAAGGCTATCAGAACATGATTATCTTCAATTCCTTGGTTCTTGTTTCCTCTTGCAGAACAGAAATTTAAAAGAAGGGAGGGGGTTTATGTGTGGTCTTTCCCCTACTTTCTATAACTTTGTGAAACCCCAAGATTTCCTTCCAATTAGAAAATTTACCTGGGCCAAGTCCCCAGGCCACTCACTCACAGTGTCCTTTGTAGCCCTTCTAGTTTGCAAGCTCTCCATCCAAGCAGACTCTTAAAGTGAATAATCTTCTTATTTTTTCCTCTGAAATACTTCAAAACACTTTTTTTTTTTTTTTTTTTTTTTTTTTTGCGGTACGCGGGCCTCTCACTGTTGTGGCCTCTCCCGTTGCGGAGCACAGGCTCCGGACGCGCAGGCTCAGCGGCCATGGCTCACGGGCCCAGCCGCTCCGCGGCATGTGGGATCCTCCTGGACCGGGGCACGAACCCGTGTCCCCTGCATCGGCAGGCGGACTCCCAACCACTGCGCCACCAGGGAAGCCCCAAAACACTTTTGAAATCTAAAAAAAAAAAAAAATAAAAAAAAATAAGAAAGAAAGAGAGAGAGAGAGAAGGGAAGAAAATGGGACAGCTTTTAAACAAAGTTTTACCGAATCTTCCTCAAAAGGACAAAACAAACTATATGACTAATCCTGGGTTAGAAAGTACACAAAGAAGACATTTCATCAGTATGAAGAGGCCAGAAAGGAAAGGGAAACCATGCTCACTTGAGACAACACCCAGTGCCGCCGCGGAGGGGAAAGCGGCGCCTTCCGGGCTCTCCCTCTTTCTCACAGTCCCTCTTTCTGAGCCCAGAGGGGACTGGAACAGGCCAGAGCAGGGCACAGGGGGGCGGGGGATGGGGGGCTGGCTGGGGCTTAGACCTAGGGCTGTGTGAGTCCAAAGCCACAGCTGGGAGACCACACCTGGACTCCACCGCAGCTCTGTCTGGCTTCGAGGCCCGTTGTTTGTTTGTTCATTTGTTTCCATCTACACTTTCATACTCAGTCTAAAATAGAGTAGTCCTCACACAAACTTCTTGGAACTGAACATCCTAGAAGAGGCCTCCACTTCCAGGTAGATGGACCTGAGACTGAAGATATTCACTAATCAGAATTCAGATCTTCACTAACCTGAATTCAGTTCTTCACTAACTAGGACCCTTTCCCAGATGTGAAAATCCAAGGGCTACTATTTCGCGCAGGGTCCACTTATTCACTTTCAAAAAGCAACACCTATTTTCTGCATCACATTCAAAGCTGTGAGGGTGTGGGCCGAGGGGCTGGTGAGGGTGATGCAGAAGACCGTGGAGCCCACCTTCCAGGAACTAACTGACCGGGCTACCCGCAGAGCCCCTATGAGCCAAGGGGAGGCAAAGGCCAAACGTGTGCGGCAGTAAGTTACTTTGCCTTTCCCTTACAGACCTAGACAGCAACGCCACGGGAAAGGAATCATAGCTCACCCCAGCCCTCAGTGCCAGATAAACCAGGTGAAACTCAAGTTTCAGCCTTCCAACCGAGTTTGGAAAAAAGACCGGACTATCGTTATCGGGATGTTCTGCACTGCTCCTTTGCCCGTCCATGACAAGTAAGCCCCGTATCCACCCCGCCCCAGACACACCCACAAGGATCAATCCTGACCTTAGATGTGACACTTGTTGAGGTGCAATCTCATCACGGGTATGAGCTTCCTTGATGCAGAGGTGACAGAAGACCCAGGGTTTTCCTGAACCTCCTGCAGGGCCATCTTGGGTTGGGATGCTAAGAAGACAAAGAGGTTGGACTTTAATTCCCCATCCCCACTTTAATATAAGAAACTCCATTTTATCTGAAATATATATATTAAATATGTATAGATAATTATAACATACAATATATATAAAATATATATTTATATATATACATATATGTTTTATTACCTGCTATACTTAGTTTCTCTGTAAGATTTTATTGGAACAAACATTGCTCATTGCATATTTCCCCTTCTTTAGCCTCCACTGGTCACAGTCATGCGTGTGGATCCAGAATCCCTGTCCCCTTTACCCCACCTCTAGTAGGCATTTAGAGTATTAGCCTTACCACACCTGGCCCTTGGAGGACAGGAGTGGGCTCCTGGTAATCCAAGAGTAATCATCCCATAGACGATTGTAGAATTCTTTCACCTGACATCACGGAAACACAGGCGCACGCAACTCTGAGCCCTCTCTCCCGACCAATCAGGAACCTGCCCTGAGGACACACCTTCTTGTTGCTCTTCTCTTGCAGTAGAAGGACCGTCTGCTTACCTGAGCCAGTGAACTTACAAGCAAGTGAGACTGTTTCTCATGACCTGAAAATAACCTGTATATAGTTACATAAGGGCAGGATACATCTCCCTGGATTGGGGGTGGCGGTTCAACTTATTCTAAGCCATTACTACTAAGAAAGAACACAAAAGTCTTGGTTATTTTCCGCATAATTAGCTACCTTAGAGAGGAGAGAGAGCTCATTTTACAGAGCTTTATCTCCATTGTGAATTTAAAGAAGCTTACAGAGATACCATTTCAACTTTCCTATTCATACTTAACTGCAATTGCCCCATATCCTTGGACATCTGTACCTAGGATTCAACAGAAACATATACAGGAAAAAGGCTCTTTTTTTTTTTTCAAATAAAACTCCATGGAATATCTGAATCGTTTGTTTTATTGGTATGGAATTCTGTTATGTACAGAAAAGGTGATTTACAGTCTGTGGGATTGGAGAAAACAGTAGATGCTGAATTCTCTATATTAAAATAGCAATTGTGGGACTTTCCTGGTGGACCAGGGGTTAAGAATCTGCCTTCCAATGCAGGGGATGTGGGTTCGATCCCTCATTAGGGAACTAAGATCCCACATGCCGCAGGGCAACTAAGCCCCGCGCACCGCAACTAAGAGCCAAGGCAGCCAAACAAATAAATAAATGTTTTTTAAAAAATAGCAATTGGAAAGAAGTGCTTGGTATAAGAGAGGGGGTGGAGGGTGGGGAGGAAGATGGTACCACTCACCATCCCTTACCATTGCCTTCTCTGGGTAACTGGAAGGTTTGGGGGATCAGAGAGATCTTTTGGGAATATAGGTGGATTTTCTTTGGGTCAGTGTTTCCCAAACTTTGATCTTTATAAATAACCTTGTATCAAGCCACAGTCCAACAAGAAACAGATGGTGTGCCCAAATTGTGTAATTTGAGAATTTAATAAAAGAACTATTTATAAAGGTGTTCATAGGAAGTGAGGAAACCACAAGGGACAGTGCAGTTCCCTGGGACTGGGGCCAGTGGGACCTACTACTCTCTTATGTCTGAAGAGGCCAGAGGAAGGAGCACCAGGGTCTGGAGACAGAGAGGTCTGCGGGACCTTTGGTCAAGGAACAGTCATCGGGCAGCAATCCTGCAGGGAGAGAACCAGGGGAAAAGATTCTCCACCCTCACTCTTCTTTCCTCCCCCATTCTGCTGGTGCTCCCACTGAGTGATTGCAACTAGAAGCCAGAAGGCAAGAGGCACGTTGATGTGGCCCTGGGGTATAGAGCAGGGCAGAAAAGGGTGAGAATGGCTGCGATGGCCGTGGGAACAGACAGAGAGACATGACACATACCTTCACTGCTTTCTCCATAGCTAGGTATTCCTGGATTCCTCTATACTTAATGATTTTGTTTAACTCTTAAAAACCATTTTAACCATTTTTAAGTGTATAATTCAGTAGTATTCACTACATTCACATTGTTGTGCAGCCATTACCACTATCCGTCTCCAGAACTTTTTCATCATCCCGAACTGAAACTCTGTCCCCATTAAACAATAACTCCCACGGCCCCTCCCCCCAGCCCCTGGTGACCACCATCCTAATTTCTGTCTCTATGAATTCTACTCTTCTAGAGCACCTGATACAACCATACAGTATTTACTTTCGTATCTGGCTTGTTTTACTTAACATAATGTTTTCAAGGTTCATCCATGTTGCAGCATGTGTCAGAATTCCCTTCCTTTTTAAAGGTGAATAATGTTCCATTGTGTGTATAAACCACATTTTGCTTATTGATTCATCCATCAGCGGACACTTGGATTGCTTCCACCTTTGGGCTATCGTGAATAATGCTGCTATGAACACGGGGATACATACAATGCTTGAGACTTTTTTAAAAAAACCTAAGTAAACGGGCTTTGAAAGGAAACTGCTGACTTGCCGATTCACTCTCCACAGTAAAGCCTGGGTGAATGATGCCAGCAACAGGCTGCAGCTGCTCCATCTGGTCCAAGTCACCTAGGTCACCAGGAGAGAGAGGGAGCCTTTGTCCGAAGGACAGGTGATGCATTGTGAAGGCTCACAGACACACTTTGTTTTCTGCACCGTCCATCCCAGTCAGTAGGAGAACAACGTGTTTGGAGAACCTTCTTCAATATGCAGGATTGGAGTTCTTTCTTTTTCTCTAAAACCCAAACCCCTCCTTTTTTTGGCGGTACGCGGGCCTCTCACTGCTGTGGCCTCTCCCGTTGTGGAGCACAGGCTCCGGACGCACAGGCTCAGCGGCCATGGCTCATGGGCCCAGCCGCTCCGCGGCATGTGGGATCTTCCCGGACCGGGGCACGAACCCGTGTCCCCTGCATCAGCAGGCGGACTCTCAACTACTGCACCACCAGGGAAGTCCCCCTCTTTTGTTTTATCCCTCCCTTTACTCCACCCAGGTTCCCAGCAAGAACCTCCCTAGAGACAGACCTACCCTGGGCTGTATGAGGCTGTACTTCCTGTTCTCTTACTTTAAGTCACTGTTAGACTCCCTCACATTTTATGTTGCTCCCCATCAGAAACTTCAGATCATTACCTTAAATGGAAAACCAGTGTTCCTTATCATAAATTAATCCTAAAAATAAATACAATGAGAGCATAACAAGGTTTAAAATTCCAGCTAGATACCATGGCTTGCTGCAAGCTCTATGCCCCAGGCCTGTTTTTTCCTTATTAAAAAGAAAAGATTAACAAGTATAAGGGAGATGTCAAAAACTTATCAACACCAGAGACTTTCTTCTATATATGTAATCAGTGGACTGAAAGAAATTTAGAGCCGGACTAGCAATTTCACCGAGATTTGATGTTATTTAATGCTGGGTCTATGTGCTACCTTAAACCGTCTCGCCCACACTCTAGAAAACCTGGCTTTACGTAGGTGGAATGTGTGTGGGGTTAGGAAAAAGGGAGCGGTAACAGAACTTGCTTGATGGCAGGGCAAAGGCAGAGCATGGGTTTTCCCTCCACACCATTGTCGCTCCCAACCCCTGCCGAGAAGTTTCTTGAACAGAGACTACCACCCAAGTAATTCAAGAGTCAACCCCTGCCCTTACATGGCACTATACACATGAATTCCAGAGGCTTCCTCTCTCTGGTCACTCTGCTCTGAGTTTGTTCGGTTTGTACTGCAGTCCCAGGACTGGGCTCCATATACCAGGCCTTCTCCCCCAGTGTACACCAGAGGCACACGTTCATTTGGTCTTTGTTGTAATCCTCCATTGCTTCACCCAAGAGTCGCTTTAGGGTTACCCACAATACTTCAGCTTTTAAAGGTCTGTATTCTTATGGATCCAGCTTGCTTGCTTTCTTGTGGAGTTGACTTTTTGAACCTGAATGAACTTTTCATGTAACCCAGTTCCTTTACATATTATTATTGTAGTTTCTCCAACCTGTCGGGAATTTTTCACATCCTAATCTTATCCTTAAGAATACTTAGCTCTCCCTCCAAGCTTTATGTCATTTATATCTATATCTATATGCAGATATATGACATTTTTTGTAGACTCCTTTTTCATAACTATAGCTAATAACTTGAAAGGAGAAGGTCAAGGGTAGACACCTACCTCTAGAAGCATCTTTAAGATCAGTCAATACTCTGAACCTTCACGTATATTTCTAACTCATGTTTATCTTGGCTACTTACATATTATGAGAAAAGTTCCAATTCTTTATATTTACATGATTTTATGATTTAAATGATTAAAATATGATTAAAATATGATTAATTTAACTTTAGCATGACTTAATTCCCAGAAATGCAGGCTCCTAATAATTGCTACTTTATTTCCTAAATACATGCAAGCAAACTTTTTAGTGATTTGTTCCTGGACTTTGCTGGGAATCAACATCAAACTTCCTGATCTCTGATTTTTAAGAGTCTCTGCTTTCTGATTACTGGAGCAAATATATTCATCCACCGTCTTCTACGTCTTCTCTTTGGGATTATCTAGTGATGACTGAATAAAGACCCCAGTTACCCCACAAGGTCTTCCTAAAACAACATTATAATTCAGGGTCTGAGTACCAGGATTGATTTAAAGCAGTTGAGTGATTTCAATCTTGGTCTTCATGTTAATTTCCCTCCAAAATCCACCCCACCTTACTATATATATATATTTTTTTTAATTACAAAAGCAATACATGTGCATTTTAACAAGTCAGACTGTAGACACATAGTTTCCGTGGCCCCGAGGTAATAAATGTTAATAGCTAGGTGTATGTCCTACACATCTCTCCACATTAATACAAATATATACACACATGATTGTTGTTTCTTGTTTTGTTTTTTTCTAAACAAAAATGAAATCATAGCACACACAGCATTCTGCAATTTTCCTTTGTTATTCACAATATATCATGAATATTCCTCCTGGGCTATACATAGACTTAATTTATTCCCTGGATGTATACATTCCACAGCATGGGCATGTCATAATTTAGCCAACCGTTTTCTTGGTGATGAATATTAAAGTTGTTTCTAGTTTTCTTCAACTACAAATGATGCTGCAATAAGTACTTTTGTACATCTATTCTCATACTGGTGGCTTCATTTCTATATGATAGATTTCTTTGGTGAGAATAGCTAGGTCAACAGATATATCAAAATATTAGCAGTGCTGGATTACTTTTCCAAAAATGTCATAAGAATTCACATACACTCTAACAGTGGTTGAAAGAAATAGTTTCCTTGCAATTACTTATTCCAAGAATTGCCTCCCTAAGATAAGTAGCCCAAATCACCAAATTTCTCCTGTGGAGTTACTATGTGCTGTTCAACACTTCCCAAGTTGGCCGACCAGTTACGCATCTGTGAAATTGGAATGATGGGCTCTCCTACAGAAGTATAGGGGCCTGAGATTTTACTACCTTTTTGAAACAACATTCATTCAGACAGAGTAGTCTTCAGAGCAGTGAAACTTCCTATGGGTGAACTATGATGAACTTTTTAAAATAAAGTCTTTTTTTTATGATTATAAAATTCAACTAATTCAAAAATTTTCAGTCAATACAGAATGCTATGTAAGAGAAAGTGAAAAGCTAAAACTTCCTGAGCATTTAGTATGTACCAGGTAGCATTCTAATCTCTTTATAGAAATTATCTTATGTAATCTTCCCAACAATTCTGTGTATTACTTCATTTTACATACAAGAAAACTGAGGGACAGGAAAATTAAACAACTTCCCCATGGTTAGACAACTAGCAATGAGTGAAATCAGGATTCACACCAAGCCATCTGACTCCATCATCTGGGCTCTAACCGCCACATTATAGTTAGACAAGTAAACGTGCTCAGGTTGGTTTCTTGTATTTAGATGTCTTAACCAACATATCTAAAGAGAGATCTCCTCAGTCTGGCCCCACTCAATCTAACTAAAGTTACCTGCCATTTCCCTCAATGTGCTTAAGCC